GCAACAATGGGCTGAAACACAGGCACAATTGTGAGGATGGCCCAGCACAAGGCCGTGTTCTGTCCTGTTGTGCAAAGCATCGCTATGAGTAGGACCTGACTTGAGAGTATCTAACAATAACAACAATAATCGTTACGGGAGATAGATAAATCTCTGTGTTCATTGGCCAAGTTGATCATTAGAAAGTTAGGAACGAGAATAAGAGCTTCCCTAATGCTTAACTTGTGTAACTGCTGCAATTGTGCTGAAACGAGATTAAAGGTAAAGATTTTTGCTCCAGAAACCTCTCTGAACCCTGCATCTCTTGTTAACCGGTGGAAGGGGGTGAGGCTGAAGGCAGAGAAAGCTGTCAGCTGCTGCTCTCCTAAGGCCCTCACATGTTGTGTCCTTGGCCAGTTAAAACTTTCAGTACTCCCAGCCATTGGAGTGACGACGTCCACGTTCTTATTTACATTCCAATCACAAAGAACTTGAAGGTAAAAGGGGGGTGGTTTGTCATAGAACAATTACTAGTTCTGACTATAGAAACACAAAGCCTCTCAACCCTCCAGGGGGGGCAGGGGCATGCACGCACACATACACACACGCGCGCGCGCCTGCCCTCCTGGCCCCCACAACCTAATTTTTCACGTTTGTAAAACCCAGATGATTTTTGCCTGGGTCCATCTGGTTTTCCAAATAACCTGTCTTTTTGATAAATAACATAAGTTAAATTAGACAAGACAAAGCGCAGGGTGGGCAGTCAGCTACTTTTCCCTTTCTCTCTGAGAGAGTGAGAGGTGGGGGCTGAGAAGCCTCAACTATGACTCAGACTCCCCACCCTGCCCCAGCACTTTCCTTAGGACGGGCCCTGGTGGTTCGCCAACCTCCTCACCCCTGCCTCCAGCCCACCAGCCATCAAGAAACCACAGAATGGTATTCTCAAACGAATTCCCTGTAAAATGAAGGGAAAGTGCCCAAGCCCCCAGCCCCAGTGCTTTCTCCAATCTCCCTCAGGCTTGTAGCTATTCCAACCCCCGTTTCCCATTATGATCCCACCACAGGGAAGAACTAAATCAATAAGCTGAAAATGAAAAAGCTTTAAGGTGAGAGAAGAGAGGGCAGAAAGATGGGCTGGAAAGGATGCAGACAAAGATGATACCATGACGAGAAAGAGACCTGACACTAGGGTCTCCCAGAGGGAAAGCTGTGCCTGTTCCCCCAGATTTCCACTTGTGCTCAGGCACCCAGCAGACTCCCATTCCCACCCCTCACACACATCTAGGTACACAGCCCATGCCCACTGGCTGCTGGGATAGGCTTGTGGGCTGATGGGCCATGGAGCTTGGCTGAACCTTGGCCTCTCCTTCCCACTCCGCCAAAGAAAAAGGAGGCACTATTACACACTAGCCAGCAGTAGGGCAATTTTCCAAATGTGAAGTCATTTCGTATTCATTTGTACCTATGCTTCTAACTGTAACTTTGTGAGCTATAAACCAAGCCATTTCACTTGAGCCTCAGTTGAGGAATAAATTTCAGAGAATGACTTACTCAAGGTCATGTCTATTTTAGGTTGCAGATCAAGGTTCCAAGCACTCCCATTGCAACCACCGCTCTTCTACCTCACATTAAGAAAGGGCGTTTGTAGGTAATGCAGCTCCAAGCTTTTCGCCATTAGCGCTTCCAGGCTTCCTAGCATTCGCTGATCGATACACATTTAACGAACAATGATTACATGCCAAGCATTGTGCTCAGCAGACTTTTTCTTTTCCAAACAAAACATAGATATGGCTTCTGCTTTCAGAGTTGATAGTCTCATGGGGAAGGCAGATCTAACACATTCAGAGAGCAAATATACACAAAGATTCAAAAGAAAAGAATAGAAAGCTAACAGAAGTTGACCAAGTTAACAAATGATGTATTTGCTTCCAGATATTTTGGTGATCCAGGAAGCCAAGGAGCCCTGGGAGCAAAGCGGTGACAAGTTGAGCTTCTAACCTCAGCCGCTCCTTGGAAGAAAGGCAGAGCGTTCCACTCCCAGAGTTACAGTCTAGGACCCTCGCATGGTCAGGTCCACGGGTCCTATTGAGTCACCATGGGTTGGCATCAACTCAATGGCAGTGAGTTTAGATTTATGTTGGCCAGAGAAGGTGTCCCTGAGGAAATTAATTTTAATTGACATGTGGAGAATTACATATTAGCCAGTGAGAGAGGGCATTTGGGAAGGGAAAGATGCTTTGGAAGGCCCCGAGGCAGAGTGTAATGGGAAAGGGGAGGAATGGGTAGGTAAGGAGGCAGGGCTGCAGCAGACAGGGCCTTGTGGGCCAGAAGAGAATTGAGATTTTCTTTTGAGGACAATGGAAGAGACACCGGAAGGTTTTAAGTAGGGCAGTGGCATCTCCAATCAACATTTTCACAAAAGTTCACACTTGGGCCTGTGCCCAGAATGACTGGAAGGAAGTCAGAGTAGAAGTGAGGAGTTAGGTTGCTAGTCTCTTGGAAAGAAGTGATGGGACCTTAGACGAGGGCGGTAGATTAGGAGCTGCAAAGTAAGCTGATTCACAACGCACTGTGGAAACAGAAATACTAATAGGTTGTGGGATTGCTGAATTTGGGACTTAAGGGAGGAAGCGTCCAAAATGTGCTTCAGATTTCTAGCCTGAGTGACTGCGAGGTGCCTCTTACTGAAATCGCAAACAGGAGGAGGAGCAGGTTTCTGGGAATGGAAGATTAAATGTCTAGAGATGTTATCGTTGGTCCTTGGAGGAGTAAACGATCAAACTACTACTGTTATCAGCAATTTCTTATGCTTGCAAAGAAGCATTGGGAAGGGCATTCACATACGATTTCCAACTGAGAGCAACTCTGAGAGCTGAATTACCATTCTCCTTCTACCAATATAAACAGTAGCTCACAACAAAGCCCACATGGAAGCAGCACACGAACATGTGTGATCATGAAGGGCCAAAGGGATCAGGCTTTAAACACCAAAGGTGGGGAGGGGGAATCATATCCTCGTCAATGAGGGGGCCGTGTGATGGAGACCCAATGCCCATCTCTAGACAACTGGACATACCTTGCAGAGGGGTAGTGGGGAGACGAGTCACTTAGGGTCCAGTATAGCAATAACGAAGCCCACAACTTTCCTCTGGTTCTTGAACGCTTCTTCCCCCCAACTACCAGGACCCCAATTTTGCCTTGCAGACCTGGTTGGACTAGATGATGCACAGCGGTACAGACGGGAATTGGGAACGCAGGGAATCTAGGACAGAGGAACCTCTCAGGACCAGGGGTGACAGTGGCGATACCAGAAGGGAAAGGGGATGTAGTTGGGGGGAATGGATCACAGGGAGCTACGTGTGGCCTCCTCTCTGGGGTACGGGCAGCGGAGGGGTGGGTGAAGGGAGACGCCGGACAGTGTAATATAAGATACAATAATAATTTATAAATTATTAGGGGTGCATGGGGGAGAGGGGAGGAGGAAGGGAAGGGGAGGGGGGAAAAATGGAAAATTAGAGGCTAGCGAATTTTGGGAATGATGAGGGCAACAAATGTATAGATGTGCTTTACACAATTGATCTATGTATTGTGATGAATTGTATGAGCCCCAATAAAAAAAAAAATAAAAAAAAATAAATAAAATTAGAAGGCAAAAAAAAAACAGTAGCTCAGAAAGGTGTGGTATTATCCATTCAGTATTTTAGGAGACCACATTCTAGACTGTGTGCTAGGCAGTGATTAGGCTAGAGGTAGAAGATATGATACCATCCAAACCAAAAACAAAATGCACTGCCAACAAGATAATGCTGACTCATAGCAACCCTCAGTGGGTTTCTGAGACCATTAACTGTTTATGAAGGAGAAAGTCCAGTCTTTCTCCCAAGGAGCTGCTGGTGGTTTCCACCTGTCTACCATGCTGATCACAACCCAACATGTAACCACTATGTCACCCCATCCTAAGGTGTCCAAATCTCGGGACAGGAAAATCTCGGGACAGGAAACCCCAAGAGCTATTAGCTGTAATTCCTGAAGGTAAAAAGCAGCAGAAACACCCAGTAGAGCCCGCCAGCCTAAGCTGCTAGTGATTCTCTCGAAGTGCAAAAGGCTGTAAAGAGCCTGTTGAGGTGAGGACTCCTGCAGGGAGTTGTGAGCATCTGTCTGTAGGGTGCTTCAGCTAACATAACTTGTGTTTTATGGAGACAAGAGAGCAGTGTATGCAATGTGCATTGATTATGAGATGAGTTGAGAGATTTAAATGAAGCAAACACCCAGTGTGTCGAACAAATGACTCTCAGACTCACGGGGGTCTCATTCCTCAACTATGTCAATTTCTAAGCCTGTAGAGTTAAGCAGCAATAGTCTTAGTCACAGGCCTTAGGGCTTCAGTCTTACTGAGACACAGCTCATGCGATGGCTCAATGCTGTGCACACAGGGCATATGGGCCAGGTCACAAGTCTCCACTTCAATCCTGTCATCAGGCACGGCTTAGCTTGCCTTATGGCAGCTACATCAACGCGAGGAAATGTCACCCAACTTAAAACTCAACTTTTATTTCTCCAAAGAGAGTGCTTTCTCCATGGAGCCTACAGCAGAAACCATTTTCTCCCCAGATTTCTTAGGCATTAATTCTGTTATCTTCAGTGCTCAACATGTGGGGAAGCAGACAGAGGGGAGAAATATCTAGTCCTCTGTCCCCATCCTCTTTTGGCCAGCAAGAGTTGCCTAGTCTTGGGCACTCTGCAGGGATGCACAGCTATAAGGAGGAACAGGGAGAGTCAGTTAAAGAGAAAATACCCATGAGAGGGATGTCACAATAGGTACCACTTATGTAAACCGTCCTCCACGCCCTGCACGGACCCCAAACAGTTTGGGGTAAGTTTATTTGATTAATTTCCAGAACTTAAAAGCAGCCTCTCACTCTAGACTCAGAGTTCCCTTGGGAGGGAGACACACGGAAGAGGAAAGGCCCCTCCACACCAGTCAGGTGCTAACCTAAGAATGGACATTCGGACATTCAAGCTGGGCAATAAACCCTGCCTCTGAGGCATTGGCATTTATTAAAAAATGACATACATGTTAAACATCTTTATACACATTTCCCCCATTACAAGATTATAAATATACAAACGTGTTCTGTCAAAGTCAGCAACTTGAGTCTTAGGAAAAGAACTGTGGAAAACCCATATCCTACTTTTACCAGTTAAACAGGTGTTCCCTATCTCCAATAAAAAATGGGCACAATGCCATCCACCCCCCAAGTCAAGCTCTTGACACTGAAACCTTAATCATGTGGAGTGGTTTTCTAAAGCAGCAGCAGCAGCACTCAGTTCTGAGGGGTAAAAAAAAAATCATCTAAAATTCTGAGAGCCTCACGGTAGTTCAGGAAAAGGGAGAAGGGAAGGCAACTCTCGTCAACTATACACTCCATGGTGGTCTTCTAAGTAATGAAATATTCAAGTACTGGCCAGGATGAAGTACCAAAGTCAAGAGACTGCCATAAATAATGGTGACAGCCCTTCTTGTCAAGCTGGAAGGGAGATCCATGAGCAAGTATTTCAAGTTGAGAATTAAGGTCTCTGTTCCAGGAAACGTCTTGAGAAGGGCAGGACTGGATGAAAGTCTTTATCTTCATCTTTGTACTCCAGAAAATGAGGCGCAAGGTCTTACTGACTTCAGCCCTGTTTAAGTCCTTCTTCTGAAGGCAGCAAAGGCCAAGTGGAATCTGAGCCCACCTTTAGAAAAGGCATACAGGGGATGGAAGGGGGAAGACTGCAACAAACCCTTTGATTGCTGTCTTCTAAGAAGTCCCTTTCTCTGATTCCTGGTCACTGCGGTGCTGACCTTAGAGGAGTGAAGGAGACATTCTGACTTTCACTATTCTCTGTAGTGCCACACTCGTTCCTCCTTTCAACAACCTCTATCGCACGAGGTATCAACCCAGGGAGCTGCTAAGATAAAATGTCAAGTGTTTAATGGAAGCAGTGAAGTTTCTCCCAGGTATTCCATGAATCAGTGTTGTAAACACAACAGCTGCCATGATTAATGGCCAACACAGGCAATAATACTCGAAGAGAGATCCAGAGCCAGATCCAGGCAGTGGAAATAAATGGAATTTCTGTCTGTAATTCTTAATGCAGTGATTAGGCAAGAAGGAGGATCATCCGTTTGGGCATCAGTGCTAACCTTCAGTGCCAGGAGCATCTCAAAGCAGTCTCAACATAGCTGCTGGCAGTAATCCTTGATGTTAGCTTTCCAAGAATCTGAAAATGCTTCGCTTCAATCCTGAAGTGCTAGCCTCTGTTTTGTGGCGCTTTGGTGAGGGAGATGCGATTAAAGATGGGCCCCTTCTCCTTACCTAGAGAGCAGAGAGGGCGTTAAGACCAACTCAAGAGCAGTCGCCTACCAGTACTCCTCTTTAACTGGCTCTTAAGCATCTCATAGTTAAATCACAAGCAATTAACAACAGGAAAAAAAAGCAGGGATGGGGAGCCAAAATTTCCAAGTAAGTCTGAAAGCCGACTATTTACGAGCGGTAGCAATTTTCTTGTTGGAAATGTCAACTCTGCAGTAGCAGCATATCACTTTAAGCCCCCCCCCCCAATTTTTAATTAAAAAATGCATTAGAGTTTAGGAAGCCATGAAATCAGCCACCAAACCAGCTCTCACATTCCTACCTGAGGCCTCGAAGATTCCTTTGCCACCTCAGCCTTGGAAGGAGAAAGTGTATGGAAGACAAAGTTTCTTGAGTTTCGGGGAGCCGCAGGGTTGAGGTCAGAGAGGGCTGCCAGTTTCTGAAGCACAGCTTTGGGCTGGTTGAGCAAGGAGCCTGTCTTCAGCTGAGGAAAGAAGAGTCATTTGGTATCAAGTCCCAAGTGCTAATACTGAAAAGCCAGCCCATTCTTGTTGCTCCCCCAGAGTTAGGATGACATAGTCCTACTCTCCTCCGATGTCTACTTAGATTTCCTGAAGCCCGGCCTCCGCCCCCAATAGCAGAACCAGACTCATTGCCACTGAGTCGATGCCGACTCATAGCAACCTGATAGGACAGGGTGGAACTGCCCGAGAGTTTCCACGATCGTGGAAACTACTCTTTACGGGAGTAAAAAGCCCATCTGTCTCCTGCAGAGTGGCTAGTAGTTTTGAGCTGCTGGCCCTTGTAGTTAGTTAGCAGGCCAACTTGGAACCACTACACCCCCAGGGCTCCTCCAAATAGCAAAGAGAATGTGCATTTATGCCCTGCAGACTAGCACATCAGCTAACAAGGTCCCCAACAAACCTGGTGGGCACTTCCTGGTTTGATGGCTTCAAAAGGGCTTCGGAGTAAAGATTTTGATTCCTGAACAATCATAGTGTGATTAGCTAGAGGGAAAAAAAGACAAAGGTTGTTCTAGGCAGAGTTGGTGTGTGTGTGTAGTATTCTTTTTTAATAATTTTATTTTTGTTGAGATAACAGTATTACAATTCAGCTACATCTACATGGATGATTCAGCGACAGTGATTACATTCTTTGAGTTGTGTAATGATTCTCACCCTCCTCTTCTGAACTGTCCCTCCCCTATTAGCATGAACTGACTGCCTATATTATATATCTACCTATTTTTGACTTGCTAGTCAACTTCATCCCAAGTAGACAGTTCGAAGCAGACGTGCTTTCCTAATCAAGCAAAATGATTGTTTGGTTTTAAGAATACTTCAGGGGATATTTTTTATTTACGGTTTAAAGATGATCTCCAGGCAATAGTTTCAGGGGTTCACCCAGTCTTCATGGCTCAAGAAAGTCTGGTGTTTGCATTTGGAATTCTGTTCTGTATTTCCCCCTGTATGCTCAAGATTCTTCTATAGCCCCTTTGATCAAAATGTTCAGAAATGGTAGCCAGGCACCATCTAGGTATAATCCCTCTTAAATCTAAACAAGCCAAGAAACCTTCTAATCAATAAGCAGCAAGAGCTCTTGATTATATTATTATGATGAGTCTCTAACTATATTAAGTGGTTCCATGAAAACAGACAACTAAGTTGAACAAATTGACTAATGATTACCAGTAAATACTAAAACAAACAAACAAAAACCCAAGAACAAAAACAGGAACAGTAAGACTGTGGAAAAGCGTTCAAGAGCTTCAGTTTTGGAGAGTTATATATACCACCCTGGGCTAGCATCTGCTACTGAGTTGCCTTAGAACATACAGCAAAACTAGTTATATATACTCACAAGAACCTCTATTGGCCAGTATACTAAGATCCAAGAACACTGTTCTCTCCTCACCTTTGTGAGGCCTCATTAAGACAGTGTAAGGCACAGGCTTATGACTAAACTCTAGTAAGTCCCTGGAGGCTGCAGCCACCTCCAAGGAGCCACCACCAGCAATCTAAGAACTACCCCCCCCCCAAGCACCGGAGCATACCACTCTTCTGAAGGGCTTTGGCAGTAACTTTCTTGGCCAGCATCATAAACTGACTGTCTTCTCCAATTTCTTCTTCTTCTTCAGCTGCAACTTTCCCCTGCTGTGCCTGAAAATAAAAATCAAACCACGCTAACAGAAAAGTCTGCAGCTCCCCACAAATAGTTAGCATAACCTGGGTTGTGAAGTTAAGGTACTGGCTTTTTTGTCTTTTTTTTTTTTTTTTGGCAGCCTTTTGCTGCTTTAGGGGAAAAAAAATTTTTTTTTTTTGACAAAGAAACATGATGAGAGCTGCTCGCTGATGACCCTATCTCAGAGCACACACGTAAGAAGACTCAAAGATTAAACAGGACAGCTCTACACTGCCTGAGTTTTGGAAATTATGATAAAATGGGTGCTTGACTCCTCCAAAATTGACCAAGTTATAATAGACAACCTTCTTGCAGACTGCCTACCTGGTCCCGAAGCCACTGCTCTCGTTCAATTCGCTCCTTTCTCCATCTGGCTTCCGTCTCATCCAACTGTTCTTCATTCTGATCATCATCAGAATCTCTGTGGAACAAGTCCATCTGGGATGCATCATCTAAAGCAGAGTTAAGCCTATCAGTATCCTGCAATCCTTACTGGAGAAGGTACTTGGGACAGGCATAACATTAACCCTTATTACTCCTCAGTTCGTGACACAAACTTTTCCAATCCACTAATTGAAAACCATGGTTACTGTCAGGTCCTCCACTACAGCCTTTTGTAGTTTTGACTTCTAGTTGTCATTTCAAACTGAACAAACGTGTACATATGTACATCATAACCACTTGCTTTTAAAGGCAACAACCAAGATACCTATGTTTTTCCATCGGAATTTCCTCATTCGCCCAGGACCATCACTGTGCAGATCCCCATCAGCTAGGTACCTCTCCTGGTATAAACGTAACTGTCGCTTATCGTCATCCAGCATGGTTTTCCTACAACAGCGAGAATAAGGTGTTTGTTCAAATGCAAGTGCTCTGGCTGGTTAGAGGCTGCTTTAAGATGCACTCCAGTCCTCAGAAGGGGTTGCTGGGATACTGACATGTGTATTTTCTTGATTTGATTCTGCAATTCTTCCTCAGAAGGAAGTGCTTCATCAATTTCATCCTCTTCATATTCATCAATATCCTTCCCATCATACTCGTCTTCACTTCCCACATCACTGCCGGACACCTCGGCCTCATCTTCCAGGTAATTCTTCAATCTCCTGGAAAGAATTTTGAAGATTAACAAAGGCAACAATGAATATAAATAACCATGGAATGTGAAATCAGTGAGCAAGGAGTATAGAGCCAACTTTAATAACAATAAACTTGAAGTCACAATAATACATTTTAACAATATTAAAAAGTCTACCATTCCGTATATACTGTGTGCCAAGATCTGAGCTTCATGGACATCATCTCAGGAGTGGGAACTATCATGGTATCCCTGGGTGGTGCCAGTGGTTAATGTGCTTGGCTGCTAACCCAAAGGTTAGAGGTTTGAGACCACGCAGAGGCACCTCAGAAGAAAGGCCTAGTGGTCTACATCAGGAAAATCAGCCTCTAAAAGCCCACATTTCTACCCTGATATAGGTGGGGCTTGGGGGGTGTTCTCTTCATTTTACTTTTGAGCTAAGTGAGGTTCAGAGAGATTAAACAACTTGTTCAAGTTCACACAGATAGAAGGTATGTGAAACCAGGATCCAACCCAGGTTCATTCTAAAGTAAAAACTCTTGACTTTCTCTATACAATTGGGACATGTCTGCTGAAATGTTTGAAGTATTTTGTTTTGCATGTAAGCATATCAGCTTTAGGAGACAGACGAAAGGTTGTTGTGTGCCTTAGAGTCATTTCCAAGTCAGCAACCCTATGCACAACAGAACAAAACACTGCCTGGCCCTGGGCCAACCTCACAAACATTGCAGTTGGAGCCCACTGTGTAGGCAGCGTGTCAATCCATCTCACTGAGTGTTTTCCCTGTTCTGACCCTCCCTCTGCTTTCCCAAGCAGGATGGCTTTCTAGGGACTAGTCGCTCCTGATTACATGTCTGAAGTGTGAAGTATACACAAGTATCACCATTGTTACTTCCAAAGAGGATCTTAGCTGTACTTCTTCCAAGACAGATTGTTCTTCTGGCAGTCAGTCCATGGTGTATTTAACATGCCTTGCCAAAACCATGCAGAAGAGGAAAATGAAAGTACCATGGCTGTGTCGGGTGTATCTTAGTCCTCATTTTGCCCAATATAATATGTGGTTTGATTTCTTGACTACTGCTTCCATGGGTGTTCATTGGGGATCTAAGTAAAATGAAATTCTTGACAATTTCAATATTCTCGCTATGATAATATTGCTAATTGATCTATTGTGAGGATCGTTTTATGTTGAAATGTAATCCATATTAAGGGCTTTGATCTTCATCAGTAAATGTTTCAAATCCTCTGCTTTCAGCAAGCAAGGTTTTGCCATCTGCATATAACAAATTATTAATCAATCTTCCTCCAATCCTGATGCCAGGTTTTTTGATTTTTTTAATTTAATAGCAGGTTCTTTATATAGTCTAGCTTCTTTGATTTTTTGCTCAGCATACAGACCCAATAGTAAACCATGACTGTCCAATTCAAAATGGCCAATACCAGTCCATTTCCACTCACTAATACCTAGGATATCGATCTTTATGTATTAACTTCATTTTTTGGACAACTCCTAATTTTCTAAGAGTCAGATCATACATTCCACATTCCTATTAATGCTTTGGGTTTTTAAAAACTGAGCTCATCTTAATCCTAGGGCCTCTGGGGAAATCATTCACCTACCTCCACCATCTTTGAGCAATTCAACTTATAGCTTATCAATTTTTATAAGATTTCATTTGAACAAAGAGCTCTGTAGTTAAATATGGTTTAAGAACTACTGCTTTAGGAAAATCTATGAATGACCCAAAGATGTATGAAAGTTAATAAGATAGGTGACAAATTCCAACCAAAAACTAGTCCCACAGAATGGGACAATATAAATCTAATAGGAATCAATATAATGTCCTAAAAATAACTTCCAAAAGTCACTCACACATAATAGAATCCCAAATAAAAGTGATTTCATTACATTTTTTTTTCATGGAAAAAAATGGTTATGGGTATGTTAAGTGGACAGAAATATGCAACATTTTACATAAAAATTATATATACAGAGTGATCTCAATGCAGAAAGAAGTATATGCATAAAAAGAAGAAAGGTTAAGAGGAAATGACCAACACCAACACTTTACATATATTCTGGACAACAGACTTGGAGATAATTTTCTAATTTATATCTCTATGTGTTCTTTTTAATTTTCTAAGAGAAACTTTGTACATTCATAATCAGAATAAAAATAAAACACTAAGCATTTGAAAGGAGTCACTTGGTAATATCAGGTCAAGGGACACTTAGAATGACACCAATAGATACGCAAAAAAGACCCAGAAGGTTTGGTTACCGAGATGCAGTGAGTTTAGCAGACCATTAGGATCTAGAATATAACCCAGCTCCTCCAGATGCATCTAGACAAGGGCTGCAGCAGTGCCACCACACGCATCAGCAGTCAGACCACACGTAAGAATACAGAATACCCAGCTCGAGGGTTCTGGAAGCAACATCATATGAGAAACACCTGAAGGAACTAGAGATGTTTGGTATAGAAACTATTTAATGGAAATGGTAATGAGGATGGATATGACTATCATCTTTAAATATTCAAGGGGTGTCATGGGGCAGGTGGAAGGATTGTCTTTAATCTATGTTAACCACACAAAGCAACACTATAACCAGTAAACATGAACTTGCTAAGGAGAACTTGCTCAGTCCTAAATGGAAATGTTACACACTTACATTTGCCTTTTCAACTTCTCGGATTGCTTTAGGAGTTCTTCTTCATCATCTTCTTCCAATGGCAGATCTTCATGATCAGAGTCACTCTGACCACTGTGTTCATCCTATAGCGTGGGCATCACATCCAAAATTAAGCAGAATAAAATGGATCCTTAGCTAATAAAGGGTTTATAAAATTCTGTCCAAACACTCAATCTAGGAAATTGCTTCTGATAAGGTACCAAACTCGGACTTTTCAAGAACTTAGCGGTGGGGAGGGGGGGAGTTGAGGGCAACAATATCTGGAGTTCAGTTATCATTCATTTGTTCCCTTCATACTCACCTCACCACTATCAAACTCATTATCATTTGGGACAAGCCGGAAGTCTCCAAATTCCTCCTCTTCACCTTCTTCCTCCCCTTCACCTTCTTCCTCCCTAAAATGCAAACCAACAAACCAGTAAGTTGTTGAAAGCAAACGACAAACAGCCAACACCAGTAATCTCTTCAAGAAACTACAGGGGGTTGCACGTTTTTTACTCTGTTCTCCATCAACTCAATGAAAGCCTTATAAATTCCTTACTGTGTTAATATGAGACTCAAAGCCACCGCAAGACTCTCAGCTGGGATAGGAAGCCTGACCAATTATAGGTAAGCCCAAAGGATGTGATTCCAGGATTTTACGACAATCAAAAGAGCGCACCTGTCCAAACCCCCCCAGTCACTGAGACTCACCTATCTGTTGGAAAAGAACCTGAACAAAGAGCAAGTGCTTCTTCCATCGGATCACCTATGCTGCTTTCCTTCTCCTGCATATGTAACTCTGAGAGAGCTGGAGTGGAAGTTTCTAAATCAAAACAAAGATAAGATATGTCACCATGACTGACAGGTTTTGCCTCTTTTCCCAGCCATCCCAAAGCATGCCAGCTCAATATGGTTGTAGAGTAAGCTTGTCAAAAAGAGCCCACCATCCATTCATTTAACAAATCGTTTCTGAGTATGTGCCAGGCACTACAGAAAGAGTAATGAACAAAACAAAGATGCCAGCCTCATAGAGCTTACATTCTAGCAGGTGTGGGTATGGGGCAACACAGGTAGAAAAGGGCGTTAGCATTTATATGAAATTTGCTATGCACCAGACACTGTGCTAAGCTTCACACATAAATGAATATGAACCATCAATGACAAATCACATGGCCAGAGCTAAAGCCGTCAATACTTTATCACACCAAGAAAGGGTGAGTTGTAAATGTCAGGGAGCTGGGCAGTGAGTTCAACCTATATGCAGAGTCTATCTCTTCTGAGAGTTGTCACCCCGAGGGGAAAGGGCTTCTTTTCAGGACACTGGAAGTTCTCTTGGATATTTACCCTGAGAAGTGAATTTCCCTGAGCAAAGGTTCAGAAGCTCCTCCATGTTCTCTTTCTTGTCATTCTTCCTGGGTTGAGGCTCGTCTTCCTGAGATGTGAACTTCCCAGTACACAAATCCAACAGCTCATCCATAGCATTCTCATCCATGCTTGCCAACGGCAGCCGGGGCTTCAAAGCCTGATACGGATTCCTATGGTTCCTAACATTTAAGAACCTGCAAGCACAAGAATAGGGGAAGAACTTCTCCAGGCAAGAAGCAAAGTAGTGGGGGGCACTCTAAAGTCATTTATCACACCACAGTTAGAAGCTGAATCCAAAACCAGAAAATAAAAGATTCAAACTTTAGACCTGTGATAATCTCATAGGGAGTTGGGGGCCGTAAGTTAAGTGAAAGGATGAATGTGATTTACAAGGTAAAAGATCATTTTTTATTGTAGATGATAGAAGAAACCAGAAATTGATGTTATTTCTAAGCAGTGTGCCCCAGGTATGTCAGTTTTCATCCCTACTCAACTATCACAAGATCTGAGGGGGCTTGAAAGTGTTCGTGGAAGAATTTCATTACCTTTTAATTCCCTTTTCTCATGAACTTATTCAAGGGCCCTTGTAGTCAAGATGGATAGAGAAATCTGATGCATTTCAGGTAAGCCAGCAATTAAAGGATCAGGGTTGTCAGCAAGCTATCTTTATGTTTTCCTTGTGAAGACTTTGTTCAAACTACAGAGTGTAATACTGATCATCTGTATACCTTCTCTTTCTCAGAAGAGAAAGCACAGATGGAGTGGCAGAAGCTCACTTTATTTTTAACCGAAATTAAGCAGTGCCCAGCACCATTTCCACCCACAGAACATAAAACTACCTACCCATCTGCATCCAACAGTTGGCTCTGAGTGTCATCTTCTAAACAGAACTGGAAGTCTCCTGCTCCCAGGGAAAGTGTCTTAGGCTCTGGGGAGGAGGCGTTATACAGATCCTGGGAGTCCTCTATGGGAAGTGAAGGCTCAGACAGCTTCCCTGAACTCTGGCACCCAAACCAAACCAAACAAAAACAAAACATTTTACAAATGTCATTCACTGTCACGACAACAACAGAAGTTGCTATTTCCAACATTCAATCTCTTCTCAGGCAATTGCAGTTGAGGAGGACAATGCATAGGCAAGAGCAGTGTAAAAACAAATACCACTGAGAAAATAAGAACCGCGCATGAAGCTTGTTTTTAATACACAAAAAGGGCGGCTTTTTAAAAGTGAACACACATAAGCTCAGTGCCGCTGTGGTGGGAGTTGGTTGGCGTAGACGTGCTTTATTTAGCAGCGTGGGAAGCAAAAGGAGGAGGGGATCAGAAAACCGATACCATCTCACCTTAGATGCTGAGCTAACCAAACTGGCCCGAAACAGCCCAGGGGAAGGAGATCGGAATCCCCCTGCTGTAGGGAAGAAGCTGGTCCCTCGGCCTACTTGTCTGTTGCACGGCTGATAGGAAGGAATCGTGGAGCCAATCAACTCGAAGCTGCTATTGTGGCTGCTTTCCTTTGTCAGCAAAGAGCATGAATCATCTTCATCTAAAGAGCCAGAGAAAACTTTCAATTGAGTGATTCCAAAAATGAGGTGGATTTGTTGAGGAAAAAAGAGTTGATAATAAAACTGTCAGGTAAAACTCATAGGCAAACCCCTCAAATTATGTGTTCTAAAACATTATGTTAAAGGTAAATGACACTACCAAAATAGCATTATACATTCAGGGTTTAGCACTGAGCCAAATGACATTGGAAATTTCCCTTCTTTCTCTAACCTCCTTAATAACTTTGCTGACCTTCTCTGTTAAGCAACCAGACTTCTTCCTCTTTTGATCTATAACTGATAGATCAGTTCACTCAGTCAACAGGCATTCATGAAGGACCTACTCTGTGCCCATGATCAACTGTAAAGGGACTGCATATGTAAGTTCTCACAAAATGAATCGAGAAAATTTTATCGTGCTTAAATTCCCAGTATTACTACCTCTGAGACCAGATCACCAGGTGTTAAAAAAGAAAAGGCCTCTCATGGGATTGGAGTCCTTTAAGTATCAAGTACTACGTAAGAGACCCTACTCACCCAGTTTACTAGGCCTTTTGCCTGAGGTTTCATCTGTTTCCGACTTTTCTTCTGAAGCAAAGTAACTACAAGATAGGAAAGTAAAATGTCTGAATAGCTGCTCCTGATTCTAATCAGAAGAGCAAATCCAAGGGACTCTGGCTTGTCTCTAGAGAAAACTCACTCACCCCATCTTGGAAGAGCTGTCCTTAAACAGAAGTAAGGTAGAATCTGATGAGAGAGGCTTGGGAACAGAGAGAAGGCCAACTGACTTGCTGCTTTCACTGCTGCCATCGTTGTTTTCTTTCTCACCTTTGGCTTCTGTTTCTTCACAATGAAGAAGGAATTCTGCAATCTGTGTGCGATTATGCCACCGAAAGCAAAATAACAGTACAAGTCAAACGCTTGAAGAGTAAATGCACTGTTAGCCTGAGCATAGATGTTTGATTACACGTCACATCTTCAATCTGGAAAAATAAACCTGAGGGAAGTTTCAGACCATGATTTTTGGTATAATTTTCCATATCATTTCTAGAGCTCTTTTATACTTATCTTACTCCGCCCTTTTACTTTCCCAATAATGCTAATATATCATAAAGGAAGACTACATGACCATTTAACTGATGCAGTTAAGAGGCAAAATGATCAGCCTGAGCTTGCAGTAGGACTACTGACCTCAAAGGAGCCAGACCGTGATGTGCTGCCCAGCTCAGACGTCCCCCTCCTCTACTTGGGTCATATACTAACCACCTCTTTCAAGTGACCCCAGTACCCAACCAGGGACTCTTACTTCTCCAAACAAGAAAGCTTTTCTCTTTTCCCATGCCTACCAAGCCCACTACCATTCTTCCCCGGGTAGAAGACAAATCCAGTTATCTATGTAAAAAGAAATTAACTCAGGAAGATCTCTGCTCAAGAAGTTTTCCCAGACCTTAACCTGGTCAAGGTTAAGACTGCTTATTATTCTGGGAAAAGAAAAATAAACAAACGAAAGATCAAGTTAAACGTCCCTATTAATACTAGGAGACTTCAAAAAGTTCATGGAGAATTTGAATTAAAAGATAATGGGATTTATTTTCTACAAACTTTGAAGTGCCCTAATACAAACTCATTTTAAATGAACATATGTAAACTAACAAGTAGAACCCAAGGCTATGGTTCTGGGAACTTGGGGTGTTCGATGGTGCTGACAGAACCGATCACTTTAAGATTTAGGCATCTAGGAGGCAACTACATTCATCTCTTTTGGTAAAAGCTTTTACACAACTGAATAGGTTTACTTTTCTCTTAAGGAGTCCTAGGAGTTTACGGTTAAGCATTTGAATACTAACCAAAGCTTGGTAATTTAACCTCACCAGCCACTCCACTGGAGGACATGTGGTCTACTTTCATAGAGGTTAGGCTTGGAAAGCCTACAGGCAGTTCTGTTTGTTCTGTAGGGTTGCTATGAGTTGGAAAGGCTTCACAGCATTAGGTGCAGGCAAGTATTCTACTCTTATTCAAAGCTGACTTTGTTTTCCCCTTATTCATCATAACTTGGGAGCAGATATTAAAAAGGTAACTAAATTACACAATTCAGAGACCTCCTGGTTGCTTTCTTCCTCCTCTCCCTCCTCCTTCTCGTCCTCTAGTTCTTCTTCTCCCCCCTGCTCCTCCTCTTCCTCCACCTCGTCTTCTCCATCTTCCTCAGATTCATCTGTCATTTCTTCCTCTTCTTCCTCCTCTTCCTCAAACCCATCTTCATTATCTAGTTTAAGTAACGCTTGGCGCTTTTGACGCTCCTCAAGTCTCCGGAGTTTCATTGCTTCTTGCAGTTTGGCTTTCAGCACCTGAAGCTTTTCACCTGAACAGGAGTATGTGGACATGCATTAGACATAATCGTAGACTGCGCACTATAATGACTTAAGTGTGCATTTTAGGCAACTCTTAAAGTGTTCCAATCACATCCACCCCCAAAATAAGACACTTCAGTACTCTCCATTTTGGTTACTGAAACAAATGGGACTATTATGAGTTGAAGTGTGGAAGAGTACTCTCATAAGTAAGGTCGTGCATACTACTTAGAGATTACAAAATCACTCTAACAAAGAACAAAAATGATGGCATGAAGTTTTCAAAAGTCTTTGGATCAGAAGTCATGAAGGAAAATATTAAGAATATTTACATTGATTAAGAAGACAACTCATGAGTAAAATGGATAAAGGACATTAACTGGTAATTTACAGAAAATAAATACATCTTAACAAATAAAAAATGTTTTCCCTCACTTCTAATTCAAGAAATACAAATCAAAATCACAAGATAGTATTTCCTACATATGAGCTTGGCAAAAATTAGAAGCTTTAATAATACCCATTACTGACAAGAGAAAGCAGGAACACCTAGATACTGGGATTCACAGAGGAGATTGAAGAAACCTTTTTGAAGGGCAATTGGATGATGATATGTATCAAAATATGATTCAATATTAGACTGAAAGGAATTTTCCAGCTAATGCTAATATGCCAATATAATCCAATATACAAGGGGGTACCTCCCAAACCCGGGATTTCCCCCCCAAAGCTATGTATTTAAATTTTTTTTACAAAACAACCTTATCACCTTCAAAGTACTCTCCGTTACACTTAATACATTTGTCAAATCTGCGATTTCATTCTTGGAAACAGTTTTCAAGTTCATCTGTTTAGATGGCTGACAACAACTCCCTCATTTTTTTCTTCACTTCTTCTACGTCATCAAATCACTATCCTTCACATGGCCCTCTTCATTCTCGGAAACATCAAGTCACACAAAGTCAGGTGCGTGGGGCAAGAGAGACATGCTGTTTTTTGCCAAAACTGGCACACTGAGATGGCTGCATGAGCAGGTGCATTGTCTTCTTGGCAAAACGAGTGCCCAGTCTGTCATAAATCAGGCATTTTTTGCCACACACTGTGATGCAATCTCTTCAGAACCTCTCAGTAGAAAGCTTGATTAACAGTCTGACTTGGTGGAATGAACTTCAAATGCAGGAGCTGACATTTTCGTCCATTTGGGAAGTTGACGAATGTCCAAAACGAGGTTTGTCATCAATTGACATTTCACCTTTTTTGAAACGAGAAAACCACTTATACACTTGAGTTTTTCCCTTAGTGCTGTCCCTGTAAGCTGTGTTCAACATCACAACAGTTTCTGCAGCATTTTTCCCGAACAGGAAACAAAATTTCATAGCCACATATTGTTCTCTTAAATGGGCCATCACAAAAACGAAGTTTGAGCAAAACTTGAACTTTACGAAAAAATTCACTGTGACTAGAGAGAACCTTCCCAGCTGATGCCACTGATTACACTAACTCAGACTGAATTGCTTGATGCTTGTCTAGTGGAAAAATGCATACTACAAAAACTCAAGCTTTGTCCAGCACAATTCCAGGTTGTTTTTTTTATCCCCTTGTATACGTACTAGAATGCAACAATGTATGAGCTAGCCCAAAACTGAAACAAACAAGATGTTCATTGAGATGTAGTCAATTAATATAGCCCTTCTAGCCATAACCCTTTATGTGATGCATTATAAAGTCTGGCCTCTATACCTATAGCTATAATGGCATTTTGGAGGGAGTTCTTTGCTATGTTAATGGACTGGATTAAGATAAGATTAAGTCTCCACTTTAGTAGAGGATGTGAGTCAGATCACCATCCTTTGTTTCCTAGGGAAGACAAGAGCCACCCTACATCAAAGTCATTCGTCTGTGTGTAACAATCATCTTGAAAGCACAGAAAAAGGTCCCAGGATGATCTGAAGAACCACCAATGAAGCATGTTGGATCTCTGCTCTGTAAGAAGTGGCAGAGGCTGTGACCACGGAGACCATGAGACAAACAAAGGAGCCAGGCCAAGATCAGAGGCCAAGGCAAAAAGACCATGAAACAAAATAGTGGAGCAGCGCCAAGACTACGAGCCAGGGCATGTGCTAGCTTCCTGGTCCAGAGAGGACACAGGGCAAGGAACCACATGGCTGAGAAGCTGAGGACTAGAGAAAGACATGACTACTATTAAGGAGAGGTGTTGGGCAGTATTGTCTGTGGACTCTGTGTGGCCACTGAATGAATTATCACACTCAGCACAGAAGTAGAGTGTCATGGGAGGAATGGCTGGTGTCGGAACAGGGTAAAGAAAGATGGTGGGTGGGGGCAGGTCAGGCATGCCTCTGCCTTGTGGCAATAGGAAAGCCAGAGGAGGTCAGATATGGCCCCTGTTTTTGTATCTATCAATAGGAATATGATTAAATAAACAATTTTATAACCACACAATGGAACATAATACCTTAAAAACCTTTAAGGAACATAACACCTTAAAAATATATTGAGATTTTAACTCCAGACCTCTGGAGCTTCGTGGTCTAGTTCTGTGTATCTAAACTTAAATGGCAATGCATTTATGTTGCTTAAATGCTGTCAACTTTCCTCATACACACGGAATGAGGATCCTAACATCATCTACCTTATAGGGCTGTGTAGGTTAAGTGATACAGCCCATGTTAAGCACCTAGCACAGTACCTGACAGAAGAGTAAATGTTCAACACACACGCACACACATTTTCTTAGAATGATACTCAAGAAATTATTGAAGGTAACTTTGAGAAGACTAATTTTTCCTTTTATATCCTTTTTTCTAGTGTTTTTGTTTTTTCTGTGTGATACATTCCTTGTATTTTCACTGTGAGTTTGTGGGAGGGGTGGGGGCAGAGTGTAACAGACCTGTCTATAATATAAGGTATTTAAAAAAGCAGATTACAAAGCAATATACAGAGGATGTTTTAGTTTTTAAAAACAGGCACAAACACATATGTCAAGAAGAGAGCTTCAAAGGACAGCTACACGAGAATGGCTATCGTGGCTGTCTCTGATACAGGACTGTGGGCGTTTTTTGTTTATTATTTCCATGCATTTTCTGTAATGGATACATATTGCTTTGTATAGGAAGACACGAAATATTTCAGGAAACAAAATCATCTTGCCCACCCTCCACCTTGAGGCAATGCTGTACACGAATCATGCCCAGAGCTGTAGAAGTCCAATTTCCCAAGTTCCAAAGACAAAGATCCCATCACTTTTCACCACTCTCAGTAGCCAAAAGGCCTGTCAAAGAACAAAGCAAACAGCAAACACCTGAGGACTCGGATACCTGGCTTGGCGTGGCTCGTTTCATCCAGCTTCTCAGCTGCCAAAGTCACAGGCACCACATCTGCCTTCAGCGCTTCCTTTCCATCCATGCCCACTTCTCTCAAGATGACACTCACATTCACCTTCTGACTGACCCTGGGCTTGGCTGCTGGGTGAGCATGCTTCCAGAAACGCTGCTTCAAGGCTTCCAGTTCTAAACTCAAATACCAGCAAATTGGTCAGTTTGCAATGCTCAAGAGCATTCTTTTTGGATTCCATTTAAGAACAATAAGCTAGGTTTAGTAGCTCAAGAAAGTTACAAGGAAAAAACACACCCCCTATTCAGAGAAACCAAAAATACCCTTGTTACTGATGTGTTGTGTAAGACTTCCTCACTGTCCTTCAAAAACCATAGACTTTAACACAGAAACTTATACTGGGAGTCTCTAAATATGTGTTTATATTAAATTCTAAACAGATGAATTAAATTGATAGAAACAAACACCATGCTTTTCATCTATTCAGGGGCTTCATTTTCCAGGGATTTTAGTCTCTCCTTTATTGTTTATTTTGAGTGCTTCATTATTTATTAGCTATCTTACTAAAATGTAGGCAAGGATTTTTTCAAAAGGAAGCTGCAAATAAATACCAAGCCAGTTATAGAGAAATGGAAATATCTATACCAGGAGAGTAAGATCAGCAACCCCATGATCACAGGACCTTTTCCCCCTCTCTTCCCTAATGCTATTGCTTAGAATTTTCTTCTTCTCACTCAGCCAGCTGCTGCCTGGCACCATCCCTTACTCACTTTGCCTAACACATTACACTATAGTGGAATCTGTTGTGTGAGAGTTGGCAGCTACAAAGAGAAAGGAACAAAAAAGAAGAAAAACCTCCTTTGGGGTTGAAAGAATCTGGATATATTCATGTGGCTTTCCCTTGATAAAATGTCCAGGACACTGAATTTGGTTATCTTTTAAACATTGACTTTAGTCATACTTCAGTGGCTTTGTGATAAGTACCTCCATGCAATTTTTTTTTGTATTGTTTCCTCTTTTCCTACGGCACTTAGTAGTAAAAGAATTGGAAGCAAATCTCTTAATTCTGAAACCTCAAAAGTAAAAACTAAATTCGAGAGGGGTGTAGGGCTATATTACAAACAAGAGCAGGGAGACAAGCTACACATGTTGCCTCCTTACAGAGATCCAATAAGGTGACAAGGTTGAGAGTCACAGCGGGGATGAGGCCAGTAGAAAGAGAAAACAGGTAGGTCCTCATGGGTGCCAGTATGATTTAAGCTCCTCAAGAACCCCCCCCACCCACCCACCCACTTCCTTGCCATTTACCACATGACTCAACTATCATACTCCTCATGGTGAAACTCCGTTCAAGCTCTTCTCCCTCCACTTGCCTTCGCCCAGTGCCTTTCATCAACTCTGGATGTGAAAAGTCTTGGCCCCAGCTCATCTCCATCAGGAGCTTGGATCTCGGGCTGTCTGCACTCCTGTGGCTCTTAGCCCAGAAAGGAAAAGGGCAAAGGGCAGGGATCATCTACTATGTTACTGCGGAGGATGGGAGAAAGATTTCTGGCACCCCAGATTTTAAATCTGCATGCATTTTCTCATGGAAACCTATACAAAATTAAGAAAACAGAGGGTTCCCCAGTCTTCCCTCTTACCCCTTTCCATTTCCAGTGCATTTGCCACACTAGCCACCAGATGGAACTTCCTAAAATGAAAATCTGTTGGAGTCATAGATTTCCCTAGCTAAAAATAGTCCTCTACTCACAAAAAGGGAGAGTTCAAGCTCCCAGCATAGCCTAAACATCCTGCTTGGTCTGACTCACCCCTGCATCCCCAATCCCCTCACAATCTTCACTTCAAGCACATCAGTTCTCTCTTGTCTCTGTCCCCTCCACCAAGAAAGGTCCCCTTATCTCTCTGCCATGGGGTTTCCTATTCAGCTTTTAGCACTCAGTTCAGGCACAGCTCCTTTCATAAGCCCCCACCTCCCCACCATTCAACTGAGGTACCCCCATTACCTAGGTCTCAATGCCCCCACACAAGAGCAAACCTATCAGCTAGTACTCTAACGGGCTGCTCACCTGTCTGTCACTCCTGCCAGACTTTAAGAACAAGGATTATGTTTTATTTGTAATATAAAAGGGAGCTTCAAAAAGCTCATGTAAAAAATAAAATTAAAAGATAATAGAATTTTTTCAGGAACTTTTGGGACTCTCCTGGATAGCACCTAACAGTGCTAGTTAAACATTTAGTGCATAAATGAATGAGCTGATTCTCAGTTCCACAAATGTCATGGAACAAGTGCCTAGTCTAAGTGTCTACTATATGCCAGGCACCGTGCTACAGTCCCTGAATAAACCAAGAGTAATATGCTGGAGAAACTACCTCACCTCTTGAAGCCTCATTCTCTCAATTTGAAAAATAACAGATGGGCTACAAGAATGAACCTGCTGCTCTAGGAAGAGCCTGTAGGGTAGAGCGGAAGTGCCATATAGGGTCCCCAGGGCTGCAATCTTTACAGAAAACTGCCTTAGCTTTTTCCCAGAGTGGCTGTTGGATTCAAACTGCTGACCTTTCTGTTAGCAGCCAAGCACTTAGCCACTGCACCACCAGGGATCTTTATGAGAATTAGCCAAGAATCTATCAGTGTCTAATATTCATAAAAGGCTCACTGTCACCGAGTCAATTCTGGCTCACAGGGACCTTATAGGACAAAAGCAGGACTGTCCCTTTTGAGCTCCGTTGACTAAATCGTCATAGGAGCAGATGGCCTCAGCTTTCTCCCAAGGTGAGGAGCAGCTGGCAGGCATGAAGTTCCGAACTCGCAGCTATCCCGATGGGTAACCCACTACACCACCACGGCTTCTTCGTGTCTAGTACAGGTACTCAAAAAAGGTTTCTTCCCTTCCCTGTCTCTGTCTGGAACTGTTTAGATAACTTAGGGGTCCATTAACAAATGTTCCCTCAGGGTCCTAGGCAACAACTCATTCTCATGCTTCTTTGCTCAAAGTCCCCCCCACCCAACATGCACTGAGCTTTCTGTCCCTTCCAAGTATACCCTTCTCTCCACTTTCAAAAAGCCCATCCATTTAATCAACAAGACTCACTGAGCACAGCATACAAGCCAGGCACTGTGGCTGATAGCAATGCCAACAATAAACTATTTAATGAATGAATCCTGATACAAACAATTGCACTAATAATAGAGGAAACAGTGGCCAATTTTTGAGTGCTTCTTTATGCTACCCATTTGTAAGCATTGTTTCAATGATTTATAATCACTAGAGTTCTATGCAGGAGAATGAAAAACTTTCTACTTCCCATAAAACATTACAGTCTTGGAAACTCAAAGGGACAGTTCTACCTTGTCCTATAGGGTCGCTATGAGTTGGCATTGACTCCATGGCAGGAGTATAATCCTATGAGTCAGACAGTACTAATATTTTCTCTTTTTAAAGAGATGGTTTAAAGAGGTCAATTAACATCCTGAAGTTAAAGAGTAAGTAACAAAGGGCAGATTTTAACCCAGCTCTAGCTATAGAAAGGAGCCCTGGTGGTCCAGTGGGTTAGGCTTTGGGTTGCTAAAAGCCAGGTCAGTGATTCCAAGACACCAGCCACTCCACGAAAGAAAGATGTCTGCTCCCATAAAGAGTTACAGTGTCAGAAAACCTATGTAGGGTTGCTATCTATGAGTCAGAATTAGTGCGATGGCAGTGAGTTTTAGGTCATGGTTATAAAACTTAAACTTTCATGAGGAGGGTGGGAAAAGGAGGGGGGGAAATGGGAGCTGATACCAAGGGCTCAAGTAGAAAGAAAATGTTTTGAAAATGATGATGGCAACATATGTACAAATGTGCATGACACGATGTATGTATGTATGGATTGTGATAAGAGCTTTAAGAGCCCCCAACAATAAAATGATTTATAAAACCAAACCAAACGTAAACTTCTCTATAATGTCACATCGTCTCCACACAGGATGAAGCACCTTTATCCACAAGAGACAGGGCAGTTTATTAATGTAATAGTACTTGAATTCAGTTTTGAAGGCTCATCCATTTATGCATTCATTCACAAAATATGAATGCCTACAATGTGCCATCCACTGTAGAAGCTAGAGAGATGAAGTACAGAATTAAAACGAGACCCCTATTCACAGTGTAATGGGAAGGCAGCAAACAGGTAATTTCCTACACCGACACTCCAAGCTTTCCTTTAACCATCCCTTTGGGCTTCCTGATGGTGCAAGTGTCTAAACACTAGGCTACTAACCAAAAGGTTGGTGGTTTGAGTTCCCCCTGAGGTACTTTAGAAGAAAGGCCTGGCAATTTACTTCTGAAAGAGCAACCAGGAGAATGGCAGGCTTTCCTATAGAGCACAGTTCCACTCTTGACACACATGCAGCCACTGACTTAAAATCTCAGTGAAAAGTGGTTTAGTGATATTGAAGCAAAATAAAAATAGCTCTCTTTAGCTGCGCTGGACTAAAGGTTCTTAAGAATATCTTAATAAGATTTGACACACACCCTCCCAGACTGGAGCAGCAATGTACCTCTTTTGCAGAGTATCTATCTACCAGCTGCCATTTAAAAAAAAGCTAACACCATCCTGACAACCTGGCAAGCTTATGTAGATGGGATCCAACCTGCATCTATGTCTGTAGATCTGCAATGGACACCAGTCAAATCCCATCTTCATAAGTTTGCCAGGGTTGCTGTGGGTCTGAACCAACTTGAGGCACCCAATAACAACTACCATCCACACAGAACAAGATCATGTGTATCAGTTTTTCCTGTGTTTCCTGTCCTCCACAAAAGTAACTAACTGAAAGCGATTCTCCAGCATTTAAATGATTACCTTTGTTGGTTTCAGGTTCATCGAGTATCACGAAAGATTTCTCATCAGCACCCAGCCGAGGTTTAATAGAAACATCTACTCCCAGTTGCTTAAGTCTATCCAGTGTAAACCGCCTGGCTTTCTCAGGTGGCACAGCGCCTGCTGACTTAGTTTGCTGCCTTGGCTCCTCCACTTTGCCATCTGCTTCTTCAGGTTTTTTCATGCCTTCTTCCTCCTCCAGGGCCTGAGGTTCAGGTGCTACAAGCCCTCCAGCCTGATACTCTTCACCCTCCCGGGGTCCCAGGAAGCTGGGTTTCTTTGGTTCCACTGAGCCACCCTCAGAAGCATCAGTTTGTTTGTCCTGACTTTCTAGTGTCTCGCTTCCCACCAAGTCCTGACAGCAAGACTCATCTGCTCCAGCAGTGATCTGGGGTTCCTTCATTGCTGCAGGCACTGGATTTACTTCCATTTCATATTCTGTGCCTGCTGCTGGCTCAGAACTCTTGCTGTGGGCGTCGCTGTTCATCTCAGTTGTATTTGCAGTGCTTATGGTCCTGTTGTTATGGCTTGGCTGATACTTAGTTGACCTAGGGAAGGGAAGAGGAGCTGCAGTTTAAAAGTATCCTAAGCCTGAAACACATAATGAATCTGCCAAACCAGTTCCAAGGGAGTGAAGAATCAAAATTCTTTATGCCAGATGTTTGCTACAAAACTGAATGCTAAATAACAGTATAATCACAAGGAAAGCTGGTTCTTACTTCAGCAGCACCCTGGCATTTCCTTGGCAAGTGGGTCGGGGTTTACGTTTGAAGAAATCATGAATGGTCTTATTCTCAGGCATGTGATATGGAAGATTAAGTGCAGACTCTAATATGGAGCAAAACAAGCAAAAGCAAATATTACACATTCTGAAATGTCATTTCATAGTCAACTAACCAGTTAAGTGGGTCCATCACCAGAAACAGAAAACAATCTCCACATTAAGAAAGGGAGGGTCAACGTACAAAACAGGGTTCCTGGAGACCGGGGGCTTTAAACCTGTGGTGAATCAAAATGGTACAGGAAACATTTTAAAAAGATGATTCTTGGACCCCATTCCAAATTTATTGAATTGGATCTGTGTGAGGTCTCGGAATATCTATCTTTGAAAAACTCCCAAGTAGACCCTGATACAGCTAGTCCATAGACAGCCCTTCAAGACAAAAACAAGTACTCGTGACCTTCACTACAGTTCTGGAAACATGCTCAATTTATACAAATGTTCTATGGCTTTTAGAAAATGGTCATTCATCAAGATCAATTCTAAATTTGGTATTAGATTTGTAGCTCTTATGAAAAGTTAAAAAAACAAAACAAACAAAAAATCTCCAACATCCACAGCGAGCTTCCAAATAAATGCTATATTTGTCTTAAAGGTCACCGTACTTGTTTGCATTACCTCGAATAAGGCGCTGAGTCTCACTATGCAGTTTTTTTAATGCTTCCTTACTTAACTTGGCTGCTTTCCTTTCCTTAAAGAAAACAAGAAATAGAGACTATGTTATTGGTATTATCCAGAAACACAGGTATTCATCCCTCCAGCGTTTGCTCTCTCCAAGAAAGAGGTTGCAAAAAGAATAAGCATTAATAAATTAAAAACAATATAAACTCAAGGAGCTCATTAATTTGCAAATCTTACAATCCATCCCATATTTGGATTCCTAGTAGGCACAAAGCAACATGTTGGGTACCAGGAAAATATTATGATAGATGAGGCAAAATATTTATCCCCCAAGAAGTCTATAATCTGATGAGAAAAGAGCCCAAAGGCTGCATGACTGCTACATAGGACTGTACCTCACCTTCCTCGTGGAGCCTTCTGGCAACTCAGCTTCTTCTTCACGTGAACAGAGTCCACTCTCCAGAGATGGTTCCTTTTTCTAAAAGGGAAAATTAATTAGCATGGACAAAAGCTTAACTAAAGTAAGATGATGCTTCTTATCCAAAGGCTGGGTTTGAACTCCAGCATCACATCAGGCTCTATTAAAAATTAATGAATAATTATCAAACAGAAGCATACGGCATCCAGTAATACCCAGAAAACAAACTATATGTGTGTGTGGGGGGGGGAAAGCCTAAACCCTCATTTCTTATGTAGCTCTGACATCTTTCCTTAGGGAGGGCCAACAAATCCCAAAGAGCGGAGGGAAATGTTAGGTAGAACACTTCTGCTACTAGACACTCAATGCTTTGACTGATGCTTCTCTTTGATTCCCTTCCTGAAGTTCTATAGGGTTCATTTCTTAGAGCTCAAAGGAGTCTGAGATTTATATCCTGCTTTTGACTTCACCATAAAGGATCTTACTTTTCCAGCCTAACATTCCTAAAAGGGTAGTAACGAAATACTCATTTTCAAACAAGTTAACAGGTATACCACTTGTACTACAAGTCTCCAAAATTAATATCTGAAAAACTTAAATCAATTGACACATCTCTTTCCCAAGCTAAAAAGAAAGGAAATAAAGGTTGCAACTGTAAACAATAATTTTAAAAACACAAGAGTTAGAAGCAGTTGGTAAGTTTTAACTGAGACCCCCCTTTTACTTGCCTTATGTTTTTTTACTTTGTTTTTCATTGCTGCCCTTATGGATTCTAAGGATTCTTCATCTTCCAGTGGAGAATGATTTTCCTCCTCCAATCCAGTTTCAAAAAGGTCATTATCCACAAGAAGGCAGCCGCTATCATTAAACGGCTGTTCCATACTCTCTTCCTGGATAATGTATAAAGGAAAAACGAAATCCAACCAGTTTAGAATCCAGTATCACAAAACATCCTATGAAAATTTGGTTCAGGCCAGAAAAAGCTTATATTTTATCAGCAGACAAGTACATGGTATTCTAGAACATTCTCAATGGGTCATAATCCACAATTATCCTTTGAAAGGCAAGCTCTGGTTTTTGTTTTTAGTTCATTTATTTATATCATATTATTGAGGGCTCTTACAGTGCTTATTACAATTGATCCATGCATCAATTGTATCAGACATATTTGTACACGTGTTGCCATCATTCTTTTCTAGACAGTTACTTTCTATTGAGCCCTTGGTATCAGCTCCTCTTCCGCCCCCCCTTCGTGTTTGTTTTTTAAGCTCTGGTTTTATACATTGTCAAAAATTAAGTTGATAACCACTATTTTTTTGGAAACGTCATTAAGAACTTATTAAATGCCAGTTGGCATCGAGTTGGCTCGGACTCATGGTACCCCCATGGGTGTCAGAGTGAAACTGTGCTCCACAGGGTTTTTAAGGCTGATTTTTTGGACATAGATCAAAGGCCTATCAAAGGCCTGCTAGGTGCCTCTAGCTCAGTGGTTAAACTTTCCTCATGCCGTGACCCTTTCATACAGTTCCTTAAGTTGTGGTGACCACCAACCATAAAATGATCTTCATTCCTACTTCATAACTGTAATTTTGCTACTGTTATGAATCGAGCGACCCAATCAGGCAACCCCTGTGAAAGGGTCATTCGACCTCCAAAGGGGTCGTGCGTGACACATAGGTTGAGAATCACTGCTCTAGCTCATAGGCTTCCATTTGCCCTACTCCTGCCCACAATACCGGAAAAAACCCTCAGTGGCCTCCTGGTAATGGAAAACTTTTGTACTGTAGCCCATAATCGAGGATGAGGTGTTAAGGATCTGCTTTTGCAGCTTCCCTGGATACCTCCAGCACCCCAAGGGACAGACAGTATCACCCAGCCCTTCCCGTTAGCAGTCAAGCATGTTTCACTACAGCAAAACCTCAGAAGCAAGACCTGTGCAGGCAGGAACCTGTCAGAGAAGAAAAACTCAAATATTTTCCACTAAACCAAGCAAGAGAAAAGAGCTGAGACCACACTCTATTAAAAACAGAAAACCTGGAAAACAAGGCACTCCCATGGAGACCTGGCTCTCACAGTTCAGAGCCAGGGCTTATTAAGTAGTTTATAAAACTCAAAGACTTTTTTTTTCTGGTTAGCAGACAAGACTTCTGACTGATGGATTCATGAGAAATCCTCCTTTGAAGTTAATCATCTATTGAGAACAGCAAAGGACTATGACACGTGTTTATCAAAACAAAAAACAAAAAAACAAACCCAGAAACCCATTTATTCAGCGGTCTCTGCACCACCCATATGGAGAATGAGATCAGCAAAATTTCACATACCCCATTACTCCCAATGCAAAGCAATCAGCTCAATGTTATGTTCTGAGTGCAGGAACAATCTTAAAAATGAAAGCTGATTTTTCTAAAGTGTCAGTCTGCCTCAGAAATAGTAAACTTCTTTAAAATGTACCTTATTTCTTTAAAATGTACTTCTTAGCTATAACTGAACATCTTGACAGAATGACTTACTGGGCTCAGGGACTCAGAACCCCTGTCTCAGGAGACAACTAGGTCAATTGGCATAAAATAAATAAACTGTACCTCATTTTTTGTTGCCTTCTTTTTCAGCTGCCTAATTTTTTGCATCTTTTTTTCCTCTTTCTCAAGTCTTCTCTTTGATTTTACTTTTGCTTTCTCCCCAATTTCTCCCTTAGCACATACTGATTTTCTGGAAATCTTTCCGTCAACTGTATGGTTCACAGACGTTTCTGACTGGAGATCCAGTTCCACGCCAAGTGTTGCCTGGGTTTCCAGGTTGTTCTGACAGAAAGACTCCTCAGTGTCACTGTCATCATTGCTGGCCAGAGCTTTGTAAATCCTTTTGGCTTTTCCTTCTTTGCCAGCATATATGTTCTCCTTATTTTCCTCCTCTGCATTGTTCCAGGTAGTGTGCTCTGGAGAGGCACTGCTGTCTTCCACTTCAGAATCACTGTCTTGTAGCACCTTCCTGCTTTTTGATTTCTTGCTTACAAAAATCTCCTCATCTGAATCTGAAGGAAACACAATTACCAAAAAAAAAAAAAAGTATTTATATAATTATTTAGCCTACCTCTTTATTGTTCTCATCCTCAAAAAGATATGCAATTATACAAGTAACTGTTATCTGTGAAATTTTTTAACAACTAAGAACTGACTATAGCAAAGCAAATCTAAAAATACATTTTAAAGACACTTTCCCTGGGGAGGGGGGCATGTCTCTTACTGAGAAACATAATGAAATATATATTTACAAGGTGTAAAGTTGACTCATACATCATTGTTCTAATCCTCTTAAAGGTGTCAAAAATCATTTTATTATTCAACCAAGAGTAATGCATTCACCCAGGCAATGGGATAGGCATTTTATACCAATTATTATATTAACAATGTAATCGAAATTGCTATCTTCAAAAAGGCACATGTACTGCTTTTTGCTTTTATAAATAAGGCAAAATAATATAACAATAATTTAGTAAATCAAGGAAATATTTAAATCATTCTAATACCAGTTTTCATGTTCTATTTCTGAAAAGAAAAAAACAAACAAAGATTTTTCAAACCTCTTTCACTTGAGGCACCATTTGTATCCCAGCTGCCTTGTCCACTGTCTGATGGACTATTTGCTTCCTCTTGTGAAATGAGTCTGGGGTCACTGATTTCTAGGTGAACCTAGAAAACATAAATATACTTTGCATTAGCCGACAGGTGACAGAATGCTCCAAGCACATAATGGTATACAAAGTATCATGGAATCATCCTGAAAGAACTAAGAAAGAACTAATACAATGGTTTGATATGAAATGTTTAATATCCTCCCTCCAACAAAAAACAAAGCTTCAATGATAACCTCTAAGGGATACTACAGAACCGAGCAAGCAGCTAAACTAGCTGTCTTCAGGATGGGAAGGACACTCATTAACAGCCTATGATAGGCTGAAAGTGAAGAGCACTTGTGACATTTACTGAAGATAGATTACACCCTAATGTAAAAAAACCAAAACCAAATTCACTGCCATCCAGTCAATGGCAACTCAGAGCAACCCTATAGGACAGACAGGGTAGAACTGGCCCTCTGAGTTTCTGAGAACTTTTACAGGAATAGAAAGCCCAGTCTTTCTCCACGGAAGTGGCTGGTGGTTTCAACACGCCAACCTTGCAGTTAGCAGCCCAACTCGTAACCACTGTGTCACGAGGCACAACAATCCTAACAACTGGAGCAATAAATAACATCACGATAAAAGAGAAAAGACTTAAGTTGTCAAGGATTTCCTTTTACTTGGATCCACAATCAATGCTCACAGAAGTAGAAGTCAGGAAATTAAATGTTGTATTGCACTGGGCACTTCTGCTGCAAAAAAGGTCTCTTTAAAGTGTTAAAAAGCAAAGCCATCACTTTGAAGACTAAGGTACACCTGGCTCAAACCATAGTATTTTCAATTACTTCATATGCATGTGAATGCTGGACAGTAAATAAGGAAGACCAAAGAGGAAGTAAATGCCTTCAATTTGGGGTGTTGGTGAAGAAAGAATATTAAATATATTCTGCCAGAAGAACAACCAAGTCTATTTTGGTAGAAGTACAGCCAGAATGTTCCTTAAAACGAACGATGGTATGACTTTGTCTCACGTACTTTAGATGTGCCATCAGGAGGGTCCAATCCCTGAAGGGCATCATGCTTAGTAAAGAATAGAGTCAGGAAAGAGGAAAACACTCAATGAGATGGACTGAAACAGTGGCTGATACAATGGGTTCAATCATAGCAGTCATTCTGGGGATGGTACAGAACCAGGCGGTGTTTGTTCTGTTGTATACAGGTCACTGTGAGTCAGAATTGACTCAGTAGTACCTAACAACAACAGAATCAAAAGGTGCTGCGTGGTTTAACCCTTGGCTTCTAATGGAAAGGTCAGTTTATTTTGAATAAATAAAAGAATCAAGCATGTATGATGCTTTTCCTGTCTGAACTCAGTATGCACAAATGACTGATGAGGAGAAGTTCCTCTTAGAGAAATATGCTAACTAATCAGTGAAAGAGAATACTAGAATTAGATGATCACAATTTTGGTCATCTCCGATCAAATAACAAGGAGCCTGGTGGTGTAATGGTTACAAGGTGGGTGAGCAGTTTGAAACCACCAGCTGCTCCACCAGAGAAAGACAGGCTTTCTACTCCTGTAAAGAGTAGTCTTGGAAACTGACAGGGGTAATTCTATCCTGTCCTATAAAGTGGCTGAGTTAGCACTGATCTGATGGCAGTGAGTTTGGGTGATTTTAATCAAACAGACCCAAGCAATAGACAATGGCCTGCTAAAAGCACAATGAAACCACCAGTAATTATGTGCCACCTGACAGAAGTAACCAACACCTGTGAAACATTCTTGCCAAAGCAATCAAATCAGGATCTAATCGGATCTATCCACTTAAGAAGATAAAGGAATATTTTAAATAAGAAACTACAGAACTATATGGTTTCTCTAATGAATAAATTCCAAGAAAAAAGGGAAGAAAGGAGAACCTATCTATTCGTGTTCAGATATATAACAAGAGAATAAGGAAATCAATCCAGTATACTTACAGCATGGGCCCTTACGTTCTATATCTGAAAATAAAGGTACTGAATATTATAGGTCTCTTTCACGCAAAGCCCCAATTATATCATAATTGCACAGAAATATGCAGTTTGTTTGGGTTCCGATTATGTATGAGTCACAGAAATATGAACACTGAGTAGATACTTAATGTGAAGCAGTAATTCCAAATTCGTAAGTGTGGCAATAAATTTGTGGTCATGTGTTTTAGAAAGCTATTATCTTTTAGGGACCCAGAGAAATATTTGTGGGTCAAATAGGTTATCTGGGATTTGCTTCCAAATAACCTAGTGAAGGCGAAGTGGATGAGGATATGAAAGATTGCCCGTGATTTGATAATTGTTGGAGTTAGGCAATGGGTTTGTGATACCAATCTCTCTATGCTTCTTTAGGTTGGGAAATTTCCCAAATGCAAACACCTCAGGGAGAAGGTGGGTGCTAGATGACTTTACAAGTTATGACCAAGCTGACCCTAGATGCCAGGTCTCCTTAAGTCCTTGGATACCAAATCAGAAGTTTTAAGATATGGAGGTACAGGCACATGTCCTTACCCTACTGGTTTCTCAGATCATGATGAAACTGATTTGAATGGTTGGTACAAGTATTAAAATAATAAAGCTAATAAGTAGTGAGGAATCACTGAGGAGTGTGTTACATCTTTTTTGTGTTGTTACATCTTGTTGATCTTCTGTGTAATCCAAAGTGGTAAGACTATTCGTTTCTTTTTTCTAATGGACTCCTGTGTTTGGGTAAACACACCGCTTATTATGTTGTGATGCCACTGGACTGCCAACCAAAAGGTTAGCAGTTCGAAACCACCAGTTGCCTGTCAGAAAAAAGAAGAGGCTCTTCATTCCTCTAAAGCGGTGGTTCTCAACCTTCCTAATGCTGCAACTCTTTAATGAAATTATTTTCATTGCTACTTCATCACTGTCATTTTGCTACTATTATGAATCGTCATGTAAATATCTGATATGCAGGATGTATTTTCATGGTTACAAATTGAACATAATTAAAGCATAGTGATGAATCACAAAAACAATATGTAATTATATATGTGAAATATTTCTTTCTAATTACAAATAAATGAAATTTTGTCTTGAAGCATGGTATAGCATGTGGACAGACCCACCTGGAGATGGATAGAGGAGCCGTGTCTCGGTTCCTAAGACCATCGGAAATATGTGTTTTCCCATGTTCTTAGGCAACCCCTGTGAAAGGGTCGTTCGACAGCCCCCCAAGGGGTCGCGACCCACAGGTTGAGAGCAGCTGCCCTAAAGATTTACAGTTTCGGAAACCCACAAGGGCTGTCCTCCTGGGTTGCTGAGGCAGAGTGGACTCCACGGCGGTGAGTAATCAATCGATCAGTAACAGTCTGGGGCAGCGGTTCTCAAGTGAACCCTTTGGGGGCAAGGGGGTGGCTGTCAAACAGGTAACCTCCCGTTTCACAGGGGTCGCCCGATTCATCACAGTAGCAAAATGACAGTGAAGAAGTAGCAACGAAAATAAGTTTATGGTTGGGGGTCACCACCACACGAGGAACTGTATGAAAGGGTCGCGGCACTAGGAAGTTGAGAACCACTGCCCTAGGGCCACGTAGAGAGTACGGCAAGGGCAGCCAACTAGTTAGGAAGACTGTTAATACAACTGCGGCTCTCGGGCCTGTGCGGGAGGCGGAGCTCCCGGTAGGGTGAAGTGAGCGGGGTAAGTCTCGAAAGCTGTCCCTTTATTTAAAACGCTGATAGTTGGTTCAATATCAAACCATGGGGTCTATGGCATTCGGGTTTTTGCTTTTCAACCCCGAAAGCCAAACTCTCCGCCATCGCGTCCAGTCTGAACTATCGCCTGGACAAGGACAGAGGTCACAGCTAACGTGGTTTCCACGCCCAACATCGCCAGCTACCACCCGGGCCCTACCACACTCCTAGATCCCTTCGGAAGGGGGTCAAAGCGGGTACCCTCCAAGACCCCTTCCGGACCCACTCTTCCTCCCCGGCACCCCGCACCGCAGCGGACGGGGGTGGGGCCGGGCCTGCTTTCTTCAGGGTCACTGGCGGCGCAAAGGTAACGAGCGGATGGCGCCGCGACCCACCGGCCCTCCCGGGCGAAAGCTCTGGCAGTCGGCTTCCGAACGACACGGCCGTGGAAACCCCGCGGGGCCGCTCCGCTGTGCGGAGGGAGAGTTCGAGTCGGAGGAAGGGCTCGGCCAGCAGGAAGCGCGCCAAAGGGAAGGCTGGCGGGACGGACGCGGGGAGGAGGGGCCGGCCGAGCGCGCGCGCGGACCTGGGCTGCCCAGGCGGCCGAGACTCCAGAGCGGGAGCCCACACAGAGACACTCTCGAGCGGACCACCCGGGCTCCGTCGGCGGGGCCGTCTCGGCCGGGCCCGGCGCGCTGCACGCCGGGAACTGTAGTCCCGCGACCCCAGCCTTTGCACGTCTCCCTCTCGGTCCGCCCCGGGGGTGCCGGGCGTCCACACCCCGGGCTAGAGGGACGTGAATATGCTCACCTCCGAAACCACCTCGCCGGACATGATTTCTGCCTCCACAGGGCTCGCTCCGTCAGCCTCCTGTCCCCTCAGCCTGAGCCACTCGCTCCCGCCTTCTCCAGCTCCTCCCGGCCGTTCGATCTTTCGCGCCCAGCCGGAGTGGAGGCCACACCCTCGATGATTTGCACCAATCCAAAGGAGCCTTTCTAAAAGAGGCCCCGCCTCCTTTGCTCCCGACCAATCACAAAGCACCTCCCAGCCGGCTCCACAAGTATAATGCGGTTTCGGTTGGCGGGTCCTGGTTCCTGTTGTCACCTGAGCCTGTGGGAAGCTGAAGTATCAATCGAGTGGTGGTCTTTGACCTTTGACCTCTATCAGAACTCAGCAGCTCCCTTCCAGTGCAAACCGGAGAACGAACCCTGTAGATGGGGAATGACTGAGAAAGGATTCTTGGGGACCCAGGAGTGTCCTGAACCTCCTGGGGATTTTCTCCTGTAGCTCCATCTGGAACCGCAAGATCTTGCTTGCCCCTTCGTGTACATGACACACCGTTTAACATCAAAAGGAAAAAGCTTCGTGAATTGCTCAGATAACAAAGAATTTCTATCCTTGGCTACTTTTTGTTCGCTGCCATCTGTCATGGGGTCGCCCTGACTCACGGCGACTTCCTGCACGACAGAACTAATGCTGCCCTGTCCTGTGCGTCTCCTGTGTGGCTCATAAGGTTCTCATTGACTGATTTTTGGAAGTGGGTTGCCAGGCCTTTCTTCCTAGACCAAGTCCAGAAGCTCTGCTGAAACCTGTTCAGCAGCTTGTGTTGTAGTATGCTGTTGAATGAATTCCGACTCAGAGCAGCTCCACAGGTCAGAGTAGAACAGTCTTATAAGGTTCTCTTTACATCTTTTCTCGTGCCACAGCAGTTGGTGGGTTCAAACTGCTGCCCTTTGTTTAGCAGTTCAGCAGGCTCCTTGTTCAGTGTCATAGCAACACACACGACTCCATTAAGAGATGCTTGGTTACCACACATGAAGAGCATTATTCGTAATCGAACCTGGGTCTCTTTCATGAAAGGTGAGAATGGTACCACTGAACCACCAATTCCCCCTTCTCATTGCCCTTCTGTCCTCTTTGACCTGCTCTATGTCCAGGCAAGGCTGACCTCCCCAACTACATTACTCCAGCTCCATTGAGCTCTGCCTTCAGGATGGCTTAGGTCACTTGAAGTTAACCCCTAGGAAGAGATCAGAGGGCACTGGAAAGAAAAGTATTTACAACCCTGACTTAATCCATGGTAGGGTGAATAATTCATCTCATTTACCTCAAGATTTTCTCAGTTTTAGCACAATAGATCCCGCATCCCAGAAACTCCTTCCATTCATAGAGAACTAGGATGACTGTTAAGGAAGCACTGGAAGTACTCACAGGCCCAGGCCAAGCAATTTGGAAGACAGCTATCAAGCCAACTGACTGGAAGAGAGCCATATTTATACTCATCCCAAAGAAAATGCAGAAATTATCCAGCAATATCAATATCAAATGCAAGAAAGTTTTCATGAAAAGTCATTCAAAAACAGTTGCAACAGAACATCAACAGGGAACTATGAATTCAAGCCTGAATCAGAAGAGGATGGGGCATGAGAGATATTAATGCCGAAGTCAGATCAATCTTGGCTGAAAGCAGAGAATGCCAGAAAAATATGGACTTGTGTTTTATTAACTATGCAAAGGCATTTGAGTATGTAGACCTTCCAGAACATTTCATTGTGCTCCTGGAAATAGACACAAAGTGGAATCAAAACAGCCAGAACAGAAATGAGAGTGTCCATACAATGTAACCATATCACTGATCATTATATCTAGCAATTGTGAAGTGGGAGTAGGTTCTGTATGTTTTCACCAGAAAGAAAGAAAGGAAAAAGCAATTTTGAGATAACATGTCCATGAAAAAGTAAACTATGAAAGTTTAGAGAAAGACAATTAGCAGAATTATAGCCTTCACCTCATCTTTTCTGAAAACTAAGAACGCCTACCACGTTACATTTTTAGTGTGCTATTTGTCTGGAATGAGAGTTGGGAACTATTTGCCTCTCTGAAAGTCCCAGCCATTGCTGTGGAGTCGATTCCACCAGTGGTGACCCCATAGGACAGAGTCGAACTGCCTCCGAGGGTTCCCAGGCTTCAATTGTTAGGGAAGCAGACTGCGCCCCGCTTGCCTGCCAAGCGGAACAGCTGCAGGTTCCAACAGCCAATCTTTGTATCATCAGCCAAGCGTGTATCCACTCTGAAGTCCTAAAAAAAAACCCTAAAACTCACTGCTCTCAAATGTCGATTCCGACTTATAGTGACACCTCTCCAAATAAAAAAATAAACACCCGACATCAACTAGATTGTGACTCACCTTCAAATGGGGGCATTTCATCTTCATCCCTGGAGAAGCACTGCCACCATGTGGCATATCTTGGTCATGTCAACCTGTCTGTGGCCTGTGGGACATTTAAAAACTGTAAAGCAGTGGTTCTTAATCTTCCTAATGCTGCGACCCTTTCATACAGTTCCTCATGTGGTAGTGACTTCTCCCCCGCCCCCCACCAACCATAACATTATTTTCGTTGCTACTACATCACTGTCATTTTGCTACTGTTATGAATCGGGCGACCTCTGTGAAAGGGTCGTTTGACCCCCAAAGGTTGAGAACCGCTGCTGTAAAGAGTTGGTAGCATGAGATGGCTGCCTTTCCCAGCACCTGCTTTCAAAAATCATCCCCCCTGCGTTTCCATGGGTTATAAAGCTTCTCTAGGAGGTTCAGGACTGTTTGTTTCACCCACTAAAATGGCATGGGTCCAAACACAGAGTGGGTGCTTAGCAAATAATTGTTGAAAGAAGGATTAACATACCATTAAAACAAAACCAAAGAGCACCCCCAGGGCCTTTCTGACAGGCAAACAGCACATACACTATCAGCTACCGTGTGTGCGGAAGTCCCTGTGTCACGACGTTCAGTAAACCTCCAGTCCCTCCTGTTACTGTCAGATTCATCAGCTCATTCCCTGAACACCTATTCTATTTTAAGCTTGTGCAGACATAGAGGATATAAAGATAAACAAAGATGGTCTTGTTCTCAGTGAGGTCCCTTTCTCCTGTTGGCGAGAGCACAATAGTGGAAATGTGGGCGGGTATGGCAGTGGGGACCCTTAGGCAGGGTGGCTGACATTCCCCACAGAGAGTCAGTTTTGAGCTGGGTTTTGAAGATAAGCTGGAGTTCTCCAGGCTGGCATGAGGAGGAGAGAAGACATTCCAGGCATGTGTAGGGACTTGATAAAGTGTGTTATGTTCAGAGAATTGAAAGTAGGTCAGTATGACTGGAACCTAGGTTGGGTGGGTAGGGAGTGGCAGGCATGAAGGCAGAAAGCTCCACAGGAAACAAAAATCCTGGAGCGCTAAGCTTAGAGCAGGGGTGCTCACACTTTTTCAGCATGTGAGCTATTTATAAAATCAAGTCAAAATGATCTACCAACTACAAAAATGCAAAACATATATTTATTTTTATTTATTTATTACATTTATTCATAGATGCATTGAGAATTCTTTATATGTACAAAGTATGTTTATGTACCTTGCATAACTGCATATGTCCAAATTGCACAACACAATTAACTATGTCCATTTTTTGTCATGACCTGAGCTTACTCTGATGACTTGCACTCAATGGAATGAGCCAGGGATGCATAGTCCGGACAGTAGCTGCTGACAGCCAGCCTCAAGCACACTTCCACATGATCATCAGGCATGGTGGAACGGTACTTGGACATAATGATCTTCATGTGGGAAAAGGCTGACTCACATCAATAAGGAGAGCCGAATAATGCAGTCAAGGAGGTAGCACATTTTCTCATGTTTGAGTACTTTCCCTCTGCGAGTAAGTTCCTGAACTGTTTCATGCGCTCTGGACTTCAGCTGAATGTCGGCTTGTAGAGTCAAAATCTCCCATTCCGTATGAAAGTGATACGTTTTTGTCTTCTTTCTTGGTCCAGCTCCCCCACTCATTTTAATACCCTTTCTTACGTTTAAGAGAAAAAAAAAACAAGGTCTAAAAATAGGTGATAACTTAGCTTGTCAGTTGTGCTGCACTTAGCGCAGTTGTTTGCGCATGCGTTTGACACTTAAGATTGCATCTGATTGGCTGCGCTGTATATCAATTAAGTGACGGATTGATGATAGGCTTACGTCCATTTTTTAATGCCATGCGATCTACCGACACTACATTTTCCATCGACGTATTGAGCACCCCTGGCTTCGAGTGGAGTCTTGGGACAGCAGGAACTGGGGAGGTGGGGCAGCAGCTAAGGAGAGCGGCGTCATTGTATAGATGTTGGAGAAAGATGATTCTGGCAGCCGTATGAAGAAAGGATTGGAAGAGGATTAAACTGGAGGCAGCAAGACCAGTTGTTTGAGGAGGATCTTATGGGGCCAGGACTAGGTCCATGGTAGCAACGATGGAGAGAAGACAATGGACTGGAAGCAGAGGTTAATTTGACCGGATTCTTTGAATGATGAAGTGTGAGAAAGAAGGGCCAGAGGGGAGTGTCGATGCCCAGGTTTTTGGAATACAGCTTTCTCATTCAGCATGCTGACTCAATACAGCGTGACACAAGTCAATATACAGAACAAGAGGTTTCTCCTTCCTAGCTCGCCTCTGTCCACCCTGGGTTCACATTGCAGCGCTCTCTCTAACTTCTCAGGAGACTGAAGAAGTGCTCCCTACCCTTGTGCCATCTCTCCCATCCCTGCATTGCTATTCTGATGGTTACATTTGGTAGTTGCTCTTTGGGAGAAAGATGTGGCAGTCAGCTTCCGTAAAGATTTACATATGGAAACCTTCAGGATTTCTACTCTGTCCCCGAGGGTCATTATGAGTAAAAATAAACTCCATGGCCAGGGCTTGTTGTTTTTTTCGCTCATTGTAGCATCCAAAATCTGAACTCCGTCGTTGTTTGTATTCCATTCACATATTTTCTCTTCAACTCCCTGTCCTCTCTCTGGCCACC